TTAAGTATTACGGAAATGAAAATTGTAAATCTTCTGCACTGTTTTCCAAAGACAATCAACGCAAGAAAGTAACGACTGGAGACTATTCGGCAAGATTATAGGTTCAGAACAGAATTCTATGGCAAGCTGTATTTAGCTCCTTGCACTTCTACAATTTATTACTAAAGATAAGGGATGGACATGCGTTGAGTTTTGCACTCCAACTGCTCCATTGATGGAAAATTACCATCGCATTTTGTCTTTTGAGCCGATTTAAATTGAAAGTATAAACGGTGCTAAAAAAATGTCTTTTCTATAAAAACTAAAACTAGTCCCTATCTACTTTTCTTTTATCATTATCCTGATCTAAACTCCATTAGATGTAAATTATAAGCTCTTTGTCTCAGAAAAAGAACATTTCATATCCGTTTCAGTAAGATTTCTTTCCTAGATTCATTTCCGATTTTATGAGCAGTCATGCAAATATACATGTTCAAATGATAGAAGTTTTCTTTCATTTATATTATAAAAGCAATAGTTTCTTCGTCTTCTTTCTATCTTTATTTCTATATATATATATATATACTTTTTATCGACAATTTCAGTTATATTTTTCCATTTGTTATTCTCAAGAGTACAAGTAAAGTAACCTCTCAAAATGAAGAGAACTTTTTTCATGCTGTGAAACCACATGTACTGTCTACAATGTTTTTTTAATGAAAGAATGTCGCTTGAGATAATTCATGGTTCAAGACTCAAATAATTATTGCAATATCAATGGATTATACGAACTGATAATAAGAGACAAAAAAAAACTTCCAATGAACAAGTAAGACATTCTATTGATAAAAAAACTCAAAAATTATCATCTAAGTCAATAACACACTTCCTTAAGAATATTTAGCTGAAAGCGATAATCATCAAACATTTATTTTCTAAAGCTGTATCCATAATACTTTCGTTCTAACTCACAATCGTTAATGACAAAGCAGTTTTTTGATTATTAAAAAATGTAACAACAACATTATTTTCATTGCATACTGTTAAGGCTCCCCTCCCCCCATCCTAAAAAGCTATTTCGGTAACAATAAACCCAATCTTCATGAAATTTTCAGAGAATAGTGGCCCTAGATTGAGATATTTACAAAAGAAATTTCAAGCCTCTATGCACAACTGTTATCGAGTTATAGGGTGTTCAGAGGCTAAAGGGAATAGATGGCGTTACAAAGATTTCGTCCCCGAGAAAGTATCCAAAGAGCTCCGGGTGAGGATGATAAAGGGGAATAATGTAACAGAGCCGGATTTTCGACATTTTTATTCAGAAGTGAGCTATACGCGAGAAATCTAATTGACACGCGATCTGTTACGTGTTATACATATTTCACCATTTATGAATACCAGCTACGCTAAAAAACGACGTTTCCGGTGAGATAAGAGATGTTCTATAGGTTCTCAGTGATGGTAGACTAATACCAAAAAATATTACTTATACATAGCTCTGCATATGTGCATTATACTCAGCATGATCGATGAACTATAAAAAATCTTTGAAATACTTTTTTACTTTAAATTGCACAAATAAGTATAAAAAATGCTGTTTTTTAGAAGAGCTTCCGGAAAACTCCCTAGGAAATCCTTAAAAAGTATGTCTAGGAAAACTAAAATTAGCTTATTCGATAGAGGACACGTTAGGCTATTTAATTATATATTTATATCAAAATCGACATTTTTGATTAAAATCAATATTTTTAGGGTGAAGAGAGTCTTAAGTAATGATCACTAATGATTCTACGTGTGGACACGAGTCCACTGGTGACAACGAGTAACAAACTTTTCTACTACTATAGATATATAATACTTCGAACGTCGTTACATGAGTTGTAATATTGTATCATGAAGTTTGTGAAAAAATATTTCACATGAATAACACAACATGAAGAGAAATGATAAGAATTCTATCAATAAAAAAAATGAAGAGAGCTTTCAAAAACACTCAACGTTGGTTAAACCAAATGTTAGTTCTGATAGAATTACAAATAAATGATTCAACTAAGTCAGTTACATATGTTCTCAAAATAATAATGGAATATTTGTTCTATCTTAATTAGTCTCATTTGTTCAATCAGTTTGTCTTAGTAAAGCTCTTCAAGATATGTTGTCAAAAGCGTCACAAAAATTAAGAAATTAAAAATAAAAGATTTTCGCACAGAGCTAGAATGAAATTTTTTTCAAGAGTATTTTTAATGATAAAAAAAAAAAAAATGAAAAGTTGAAAAAGATTTTTAATTATCATATGAGACACTCTCAATCACTTTTGACGCTCAATGTTGACAAACAATGTTTAAGACTCATTTTTCCCGTAAAAATATCTAAAACAATTCGGTATGTTGTCTTGAGTTGAAATTATAAAAGCCCAAATGAAAACGATGAATGTTAATCGAACTACAGTTATAGTCTAATATATGAGAAAATAATTGCACATTCAAAACAAATGAATAAAAAAAATATCAATGATATATATAAACTTTAAATCTAACCTTGTCTGATGTTCTTCTTGTATTATGATAATGCACAAAAAAAAATATCGATTTAAAAAAGTCTCTTTTTATGTCTCTTTCTCTGTCTCTCGTTTAGTTACTGAATAGAGAAAATTATTCGACTAACATCGTCTTTTTTCCTATTTTAAGGGAGGAAAAACATAAATTTACAAAGAGAAAATAAGCACTACTACTACTTTCGTTGATTTCATTATCAGCTGCCGACATTGACTCTAATTTTTTTCGATGAGAAAAACACGGGAAAAAAAAAACAGAGAAAAAATAATTATTAAAAAGAACACAGTATACTCTGCTTTATATTCTTTTCTGTTCTACAAAAGTAGACAATGACAATAGTAGTGATACATGAAAACAAAGAACAGTATAAATGTGACAGTTTTTTTTTCTTCTACTTCTTCTTCTATAGTCATTGACAGACAATACGATTTTTTCTAATAATATAAAAAAAACGTACGTTTTTGTTTGCGTAGATATATTGAAGACACTATTCTTTTTCTAGGTATGTAAGGGATGAAATGTGTGTGTGTGTGTGTATGCACTTCTCTTTTACGTATGTTGATTCTGATTGATCGGCAATAACTTTTACATAATACAAGCGGCCGTTCTTTATCTGTTTTCGTTCACATACAACAAACTTGAACTGTGTTTCATTGGAAAAAAAAAAGAGCAACGTTATTGATGTACATTATGCCTTATACATGATGAAAGTATAAAATGATGCAAACAAATACAAAACAACAATAACAATGACAAAAAAAAACTGAAAATAAAACAAGGCCATAGATATATTTTATAAATATCATGTCGCATTTATTTTATCAAGACATAGCGCAAAACTAAAAATTATTTAAAAATAGATTGATATCTATGTGTACTATATATAGTATTTTTAAATTTATAGAACTATATGATCGATGATACAGAGCAAATCATCTACAGATATTAGATTATAATCAATTATAAATTGATATAAAAAATAAACAAGTTTTTTGTTTCTTTTTGCCGGTATTGAAACAGAAGCACTGTTATACTGCCTAGTTGTTGTTACTTAATAGTGGTCAATATGACATCGAATTATTCTATCAGAAGTCAGTACATATAAGTAAATAGTATTAGCTACTTTAAAAACAATAAATTTTTACCTTTTAACAGCAATATTAATTAATTGTAGAAAAAATTATCCATTTCAATGTAGAAGTATGATGCAAAATCCCAGTATGGCAAAAGAAAGTTAATAAATGTTTTACGATAAAAATCAGTGAAGAAAGGCGAAAATAGTTGAAATTCCGTGAAATATAAACATTTCTTCATCTATAGTAAGAAAAATATCAAAGACATTCTATTCTCCCCACCCATTTCAAAATTATGTACACATTCTACTAAATAATTAAATATTTATTAAAGAGTGATTCTGCACCACTTCAAACGAGACTCTAATTCTGTAAGCTAAAACTTCATTTCAAATGGAAAGATTTATATACACAAGTAACAAAGATCAAGCTAAAATATACGACACCGTGTGGAGTCGACTACAAACATTTGAGTTCAGGGATAAAACTCAAAATTTTTATGCAATATTAAGTATAAACGTATTTTTTATCCGTCTTTATAAACGCTATAAAATTATCAAATTTTGAGCGAAAAATCAATAATATAAATAATGTGTTATAATCCTCGTGTTAATTTCTATTCAATGATAAGTGGAAAAATAATCTAAATAAAAATTTTGAAAACTGAAGTCTTCACGACGATGGATTTTTCTATTTGTTTCACTAATTTAACATTGTTTTTCTCGAAAAATTGAAATTTGAAATAACTTAGCTCGATAATTGTTAATTCCATACATGGATATTTCATTTAAAAAGTATTTTAGCCTATAGTATCAGAGTTTTGTATAATGTGATATAGACCATACAGAATTGTTCTGAACTCAATTTGAACATGTAGAAATTATTGTAATAACTAGGAGGACAGATCCGATCCTTCCTCTAAAGAATAAAAAGATCGAAAAATATCTATACATCGTTTCTTATTTCAAAAATGAAAAAAAGTGTAAGAACCTGAGTACAGAAAAAGTACAAGAAAATCACACAAACAAAAGATCATTCAGTAATAGGACGGAATGTGGAATGATATAGAACGAAAAAAATACAAAAACAATCAACTATCCATAAATTCTGTGATTCTAAGCGGAGTCGGTGTCTGCTAAAATTTGAGAGAACAACGCGGTATAGCAGCGAAACCAAGGGGGAAAAGGCGGAATGGGCCATTCCATACCATTCCAAACATTTTTGACCATTTTGGAATGGTATAGAATGGTATGAAATGGCCTGGAATAGCCCATCCCAACCCATTCCAAAACGCTTTTTCCCCCTTGAGCGAAACACTATAACGACAAGACCCCATCAAATACAATCGTGCAATAAATTAACAGTTCAGTTAACTAAAAATGCTATTTTTAGCTCATATTTGTTTATTTGACGAATATGCTGAGGCCAGTGGAGTAGTGTTCACTTTTGGTGCCTGATGTTGTCGATTATCACTATTAATACGTGTTGATGAATTTTGAAATTGTCCTACGATAACAGCACTCAGTGTACGTTTTGTATTATCTGATATATGCTTATCATTGTCATTTGTGTGTGATGATGTTTGTACTGATGATGATGAACCAGCTGGTACACTATGAATATTTCCTGCTGATACTGATGATTTTAACGCATTTCTATTATTTATAGTGGAAGAATTTCCAAATTGAAAATATTTTGGATCAATACGTTCACTAAAATGAAAATAACATCGTAAATTCATCTACAATGACAAATAAATTAGAAAATTTACTGTTCTTTATCTTTGATTCGTGGTTCGATAGTCATTGGATCATCACCATCATTATTTACCAATGATTTATAACCATTTTGAGATGTTGACATTGTCGAATGTCTATATATCGTACTGTTTGTGGCATTATTATTATTATTATTATTACACACATTTGAAGAAACAGGAATTTGAGCAGCATTCATTTGTATGTAACCATTACCATTCGATGATATTGCTGCGTGAGTCTATGATGAAAACAAAAAATATGCTCAAATGAAGTATACCAATATTCGTTTATTTTTTCAATTACTTGAGAAGGCATGTAATGCGCTTGAAGACTACCGTACGGAGTAGTATGACGTATGTGAGACTGACCACCTCCATTATTTGTGTTCGTCTAGAAAAAAAGATGATTATTATAATGTGAAAATTCATTTTTTCAAAAGGTATAATAATATGGTGTTTCATCTGAGTAGAAGTTATAATTTTGATAATTTCAGCTATGCAATGAAGATTTTCATAGTTAAAATTAATGCAACAAACCAGAAATGTGGTTGGTCTAAAATGGTTTGTTGTTGTTGCTACTGATGAATCTAATGTTGAACTGGTGTTTATTCTTGATGGTTGAATATTTTGTTCTGTTATTTGTTTATTCAAATAAGTTAATAATAATTCATTTTTTTTTAACAAATCTTTTGCTTCTGTTAACTGTTCATTTAATTTTAGATTTGTTTCACTTCCTTTGGTTACTTTACTATTCGATTCATTCAACTCTTTTTGAAGATTAGCTATTTCACGTTCTTTTTCTTGTAATAAACGTTCTTGTTTTGTTGCAATTTGATCTTTTGTTTTCATCTAAGAATTAAAAAATAATAGATTAAAAATTTAAAATAGAGAAATATATGAACATACTTTATCTTTGCATTTGATTAGTTCTGTTTGACATGTTTGTAAATCATTTTTACATTTCTCCAATTCATTTCGATATTTGACAATAATTTCATTTCCTTTCAATAAATCTTGTTTTAATTCTTTTATTTTCTCTAGTTTTGATTGAGCCGTTTCTTCGTGTTTTTTCTATTAAAAATTAAAAAAAAAATGTTGAAATTTAATGGAAGCTAACAAAATTTTTTTTCTTATTCTCCTACTTTGGATTCTTGTTCAACTGATATTCTATCCTGTGTTTGTTGTAATAAGTCTTGTTTATTTTTTAAATCTTGTTCAACTAACGCTATTTTTGTTCGTAAATGATTAACAGTTTTCTCATATTGATGTACTTCATTATCTAATGTTGTATTCGTTTTACGATATCGCGCTAATTCATCTTTTGTATTTTGATATTCTTCATTTGTCGTTTTCAATTTTGAACTTAATTCATTTATAGTGATTTCATTACGATATTTTAAACTTGTTAACTCCTAAATATATATACAAATAATTTGAAAATAAAGAAAACAACGATATTTTTTCAATTTTACTTTTGTTGAATCTTGAAGTTCATTTAGATTCTCTTGTAATTGTTTTATATTTTTTAAATGAATTTGTTCTACATCACGACGTTCATTCTCCAATTTTTGTTGTAAACTTGTTTTTTCCTAACAGATAAATAAAAATAAATTAGATTAAAAAATAAAAATTATTTTCATACAAATTTTTATACCTGCAATGATTTTTGTTTTTCTTCGGCTAATTCTTGCATATGTTTACCAATAACTTGATTGTTATTTGAATTCCATTCTAATTTTAATTTTTCAAATTCAATACTCTTCTCATTTAATAACTAAAATAGAAAAATTGTTGACAGTTTGTTTGTTTTTTTTTACAAACACAATACAAGAGAGTTTATACCTGTTGTTTAGTTTCCAATTCTCGTTTAACATAATTGTATTCATTACTCATTCGATCATAATCTTCCTAAATAGAATGAAAATAAAATAATATTTTAATTTTTTGAAAAAATAAAAGATCAACTCACATTTCGTAACTGTAAACGTCGAGCAAGATATGTTTTTATTTCTTTATCATTTGCTCGTGTCATTAATAATGATAAATGTGTCAGATGTTTGAATGAACTTATTTCCACAACTTTTAAATGAGTTTGATCATTATTTTCATCAGAAAATGAGTCCTTTGTCACTAGATGTAACTGAAATCTAAATCACATAAAATGTTAAATATTAGAAACTCAGATAGATGCTGAAATATATTTATTTTTATTTTTACTTTGCTGTTGTTTCATTTTGTTGATCACGCACACACATTTCTAAATAGTCGATTACATGTTGTGGAAAAGCGCTAAAATCTACTAATAAACCTTGTTCTATTTTAAGACTAAAAAATAAAGTTAAAAAACAAAACTAGAACAAAGATATTTTCGTTCTAGCAGCTTACTTTTGAAAATCTTCTTCATTCAAGTGCAATTTATACAGAAAAAATAAATCACTTTCATCTGTTAATTTGATAATCAATTCCTAAATTATTAAACAATATATATGTACTGAAAACTTAACTGTGATGAAAAAATGTTCAACATACTGTTTCAGAAGTGAAAATATGAAAATTATAATTTTCTGTTAGGATAGTCGAGAGTGACCTGCGATTTCTCAAAAAACAACAACTTCAGAAGTCAAAAATGAATTCTTCTCTACTGTCAATAGATTTTTTTTAATCGTTAATTTGCTTCAGCGTATATTCTGCCAGTTATGTCAAATAGTGGTATGAAGAGATAATGATAAATTATACCTTTGGATGATGTGACGATGGTAACGAACTAACTGACTGAAACTCGACGGTTATGCGAATATTTCGAGCTCTAAAAGATATAATAAAAAAAGATGTTTTGGCCGGAATATAATTAGATTCTTTCTTACTTTTCATCCGCTTTTGGATTTGACAATAATCGCACGCATATAACTTTACTGAAGAGTGGCGGCTGGGAATGATTGTCAGAGAATGCAGCCATACTAAATATTAGTTCGCAATCAGTACATTATTGGTAAATTATGACCGCCATCATCTTCATGAATATAAAATCTACGAAAGTATTGTCGAAAAAATATGAACAATGGACGTCATTAGATTTGACCAACAAAAAAACTAAACAATCTACGCTCATATATGAGTGCAGCATCCATGATGCCACTGCCGTTGTCTCAACCAAAAAGTATCACGCTCCAAACACTCTAAAAAATTGGATTTCCATCCTAGATCAATATATGTAAACCATAGCCTGATGGCTAACAGACATTTTTATATTCACACCTAATACATTTATCGCTAGCATAGAACCTGTATTTTAACCACTTTAGTATACGAAAGACATTCTCGAATTTGTAATCTGCGAGTGTGAGCAGGCTCGCCCCCTTGCTGTAAATGATCATGGAACATCTTTATGAAGAAGAAAAACATGTTGTTTTTTCTGGCAGTGTACAATATATATATATATATATACTATAGACAGTATATCAGCAGTTCAAATATAGAGGAATGCTGAATCAAGTTGTGTAAAATGGTTTAAATACCCATGCTCGCAAGTTACCAAATTAAGTACTCAAACTAGTTTAACAATCGCATTCACAAGGCACACGATTGAAAAGATTGGCATAAAATAAAGTAGAAATTTCTCGCGCATAAGAGCCTTAAAATCATGACTGGTCCAACTGCAAAGAAGCTGCGAAATGCTCCAACAGTTCAAAATTTTCAATAAATAAATATCTTATATAGTGTAAAACACACTTGGTTTTAGAAACTCTGCAACACTCTCCTGTTGGGAACAGTTCTTTACCATTTTCTAAACTCTGAACAGTTAAACTATTCCTGGTTATGGTGACACTTATGGAATCTTTATATTTAACTTTTTGCGTCGTTTTAATTTACGATGTACTATAAATCAAAAGATGATTCATACCAGTAATTGTGTGTGTGTCACACGAACAAAAGATCTGATTTGTTTATGAGATTAGCCAGTTCGAAACCCATATTTGCTCACTAAAAAATCACTTACAGCTCAAAATACAAGTTAAATTTTTAAAAGTCCGAGTCTTTTTTCTTTATAAGGTTACTGATGAGAACAGTGTCTGTAAGGTGTATGAAAATGCCGCATGGATGTCGCTATTTTACGACTTGTGCAAACAACCTTGGAAAACGTAATCAGAGTGCCCAAATCTCCTGATTTGATCAGAAGACTCCTGATCTTTAGACTTTTCTCCGAATGAAAATTCTCATGATTTTAGGAGCTTGTTTTTAAAATTTTCTCCTGATTTTCAATTGTTTTTCTGCATCGATTTTGTTTTTTCCAAAACTGAGATTATCAGCTTCAGAAACAGAATTTCTGGATCAAGAGGCTAAACAATTGTACATTGAAATAGCTCGCTGTGCGCTTATTGATTGTTCTCATTACAAGAAGATGAGATTAGTGAACTTCCAAACCCATCGGATCAAATTCTACATCAAAAATTCGTACTACAGTCTGTAACAAATGATAAAATAATGCATTACAAAATATTTGAAAAAAAAATTTTTTTTTGAAAAAGTTATTAGGTTTTTTTGTTTTTCTTGTCCAAGAAAACACTGTCTGATACTCTCCCAATTTTTTAGAAAAATCTCCTGAACAACTGATTTTTTAGGAAAAACTGGATTTGGGCACCCTGAACATAATATATTAGGATAAATTCGCAAAGTTTGTAGACAAATGAAACATAAGAGTTATTACATACTTTCATGTGTAAAATATAATTCTATCTTTTGCTTCTCCCTTCAAGCGCGCATCATTCATAACAACAAGTTGAAAAATAATCATAAAATTTTCTTAAATCAATTGAGTTTTTTCCTTGTGGACTTAAAATATGTTTGTTTTTCTGTGTTTATAGCATATTAATTTATGTGTATTATCCGTAAAAACTAGTATGTCATCGACTATTCAACACTATGATAGTACAACGTATCCATCTCACATCACGCATCCATTGCGTTTAGTCGAACGTTATAAATCAAGTCTGAACGCTTCCAGACTACTAAGTTCTACGTATAAATCACTTGCAAAGCTGTTATCTGATGAATGCCAAAATTTTAAGAAAATTTATACCAATTTTACGAAACAAATTATACGAAATAAAAATTTTATCTACGGACAATACGAAATTTATTTAACTGATTTTCTTCAAGTTTTACATTCATATTTACAAACGACAACGGGTTATCTATGGAATCTAGAAAATTTAGAATTAAAAAATTTAGCTTGGTATGACAATATCAGAAATTCAAGCAACAAACATTTTATTAATTTTTTGAAAAAGGGAGGAAAACAATTGGAACAATTTGCAACACAATTTCAACAAGAGCAAAAAAGAGGTTCAGAGTTTCTGAGTTCACAAGAAAGGTAGTTTAATGATCTTTAGTCTTGTTATATGTATTTTTAAAAAAAAGAAAAAATCTAAAGAGATGTCTATTGTGTATGGTGAAAAGTCATTTTATGCTAGATTGATATGTTTGATTTAAATCTTTGCATGAAAAATGTTTCATTTTCTTTTCTCGTTAGCAATGGGTTTCGATTGATTTTGATAGTTTGCAATAAATGTAATGTCGAAAGGACGAGAGCTTTCTCTCTCAGTTATGAAATTATTTGTGGTCATTTTAGGCATAAACTATGTGTGACAGATACCTTATCCATTGTGACTAGTTATGGTGGAAAACGAATTCAGGAAGAATTTGAATTGTTTTGGAGACAATTTAAAACAAAATTTGAACAATGTTCGCAACAGTTAGATAATTATGAGAAAAAACGTATTGAAATTTTAAATGAAAGTATTCAATTATTTTCCATCATTTTAGTAGCAAAAAATATTAGTGAACAACAAAAAGAAATGTATCATATTGCAAAAGACATAGAGCATTGGCACAAAAAAAATCAATTTCAATTGATATGGTTAATGAAACAACAACATCAACAAACATCGTCAGTATTACTCAACGAGAAAAAACTAAAATCCAATAGAATATTTTCATTGGAACAACATAATAGTAAAAAATCTAATTCAATAAAAAATGTAAAGGAAAACAACTCGATTTGTTCTGTATTCGATTTATTAACAAAAGAGAATAAATGTTCAGAGAATACTATATTTACGTTGCTACAAGAACCAGGAAGTAGCAAACAGATTGAATCAAATAATTATGAAACATTAAACACATTCACAGAGAACGATAAATCATCTGATAAAAATGTAGAGATCAAAACATTGTCGTCTAGTTTTTTAAATTTATCATCATTATATTTAATGCAAAGTGATAAATCAGACATAGAAATTAAAACAGTTGAAAGCAAAGAAGCCTATAGATATCCGTTAATCAATGAAACTCATAGTCATGGTTTACAAATGCATAATTATGACAATAGTTTGAGTAAAATTAGGATTGAACAATTTGTCTCTTCGAAAAAATTCAATAATCTACCATTGACATATGTGAAGTATATCACCGATTATTTACCATTAGAAAAAGTTTCCATTGCTCTACCAGAAATTGATTTTTTAACATCAAAATTTCAAACATCATATTCTCAATCGAATTCGTCGTTATTATCCATATCATTAACAAAACCATCATCGAAAAACGCTATGAAAATACAACACAAACCTTTTCCCACTATACCATCACCGATCATTCAAGCATGCGAAATTCGAGAACAGTTCGTATTTGAACAAAATGGACATCATCTACAAACAAGTTTAACTTACAGTCCAATAACAACGTTGAAATCTTCTAATACACATACAGAGGATACAAAAAATAAACCATTTGAAATTATAAAATATATTCATAGTACCACTGACAAAATGATGAATGAAAATGATATTAAATCCGTAAAATTGAACAACGATATATCAGGTATGATAGATACTAAACTATCTGCTGAGAATCAACAATTTAAAATTGATCAAGAAAATGTTGAAAAAGAAATTACTATTGTTCAAAATAAAGTTCGAAATGCAATCAATCGCATTGAACGTCAGACAATTAGTGCGTAAAAAATAACTTATTGTTTTTCTATTTATGCAATTTTATAGACTATATGTATATATTATCACCGAGAAAAAAAGATCATGGCTATAGAATGATATGTGCGAACTGTAGTAATGAAGCAGTAAAATGGGATTGTTTTTCAACATTATAACTTCTCATATTTTTAAAACATCCTTTTATCTAGTTGTGAATCTGATGAATTCTATTCCATACGTATTTCTTTTGATATAGAAATAACAAATATACAATAAACACAGTACTCCCTGTTTTTTTCTCCTGACTTAAAAAACCATCAGATTTATATTATTTGTTTCTTCTATAATAAAAGTTAAAAATTATCCTTTTGTTTAATCTGCATTTATCCCCGTCATGTTCAGTCCAATAACAATAAACAAAAAAAAAAAAAATCGCAAGAACATGAGAAAACAAGAGGAATACACACACGTCATGTTACTAACAAACAAAAAGGAGAAGAGAAAAGAAAAAAACACCACACGAATAATTTTCCGAAAGACATAACATCCAAAGCAAGAGGAGTGAGACACTAACTCGTAAAAGACATGTTTTATATTTATTTTATTTTTTTGTTCACAAGTATCAATCTATACTGTACACAACTACGTCACACACCGGGAAACTACCAGTCTTAACCCATTTCTTCACTTAATCAATGATACGAAAGAAAAGAAAAAAAGTAACGCGATACAAGTTGGTATAGAAAAACAAAAAAGGAAACAATTACGCGCCTGACTGAAGAGATAGGATTAAAAAAAAACAAAGGCCATTATTATTTTGAGCTTGAAGCGTGTAGTGCAAATGATTGCACTTTTTTCTCGGGTCAAAAATCATAAAAAAATGAAAAACAAGAGACGATGAATTAATCATAAAAAAAGTTATTAAAAACAATGTGTCAGCGTGATGTGATTAGAAGAAGAGAGCAAGACATAACTTATTTTCAGAAAATGTGGAAGACCAAGAAAGTTTAATCGGCTGCTTTTACAAAACAGAAGGAGAGAAAAAAAAAACCATAGCAAAATATTACAAATGGTC